CCCCCCGCCTGCAACGTCCTCCTTTGTCTTTAGCTGAAGATAATATTTAAGCTGGCAGCTCAGCCATTTTGTTGAGTTACTCAGGTTTCCTGGGTGTCTCCCATGTATACGTGTTATAGAGCTTTGTTTGATTTCCTCCTGTTATCCTGTCTCCTATCAGTTTAATTCATAGACCAGCCAGAAGGACCTAGAATGGGTAGAGGATTTGTCTCTACCCCCTACATAGTACGCGTCAGAATTAATGCCTTTTTAAGGTTGAATAATAGTCCATTGTATGCAGATATTACATTGTGTTTATCCATTCATCTGTTGATGGACATTTGGGTTGTTTCCACCTTTTGGCTATTGTGAATAATGCTGCTGTGAACATGGCTGTACAAACATCTGTTTGAGTCATTTCAACTCTTTTGGTATATACCCAGAAGTGGAGTTGCTGGATCCTACGGTAATCCTATGTTTAACTTTTTGAGGAAACTAATCTTATTTTAAAACTAATAAGAAACATAAAATTTCTCTGGATTATCTGTCTGTGCTCAGATCTGGAGAGTCAAACCCAACCCAACCAGCAGCCTCCTTTGGACCCAGAAGCTCAGCAATGATCAGAAATGGGACATTCCCGGGGCAGCCACAAAAGACTGTTCCAATGACTGTGGGAAGTACTGCCTGCCTCCCTTCCTGAGGGGGGCCATGGGTGCACCCTGATTTTGCCCATTAGAATTAGAGCGAGTAAAAGTGTTTGAAGGGCACTTTCACTCTCTAGCTTAATAAAAAGAATGAAGAGTTTTTGAACAGGAAAAAACCCACAAACCAGAAACCAAAAGCTTCAGAGGAATTAAAACAGGCATCTCCAAAGTGCCTCCAAGACAATGGAGCAGGCAAGAATGTTGTCATCACTTGCAATTCAGTGGCTGGTTGCAGGTCTTGGCAGGCTGGAACCACCAGGTGGGACAGGATAGCGGCAGATCCGATTGCAGCACTTTCCAGCTGCAGTCCAGGGAAACAGGGGTCTGTCCTCAGTCTGAGCAGTGAAGCGCTGATTTGGGGCGGCGAGGGTGATGCTCAGAAGATCCGACACCACAGGGCCTGCACTGAGAGGATGCTTCATAAATGCAGGTTATTATTGTACCTATCAATGCAACATCTACCCAGTTTCTGAGACTTAACTTTCCTTCCACCTCATCCATCATTCATATCCCTGTCAGACAAATCTTTTAAAACCGCCACTTGGCACGACACCCCCCAGTTCAAACTCTTTCACTGGCTTCTCATTATTTATAAACATTGTCTCTGAAGGTTAGATAAGCGTGGCTCCAAGTCCACTCCCTCCCCCACCCCCGACAGGCAGAAAGACCCAAGATGTAGCTGAGGCAGCCTCTGCAGCCCCAATTTTGCCGGAAAACGTTTGGGGACAAGTTCCACTTTTACATCAGAGCAAACATGGCGATGTTATGGAGTACCACGTGTGCGTGCAGCTTAAGGACGAAATGCTGGCCTTCAGCGAAATGTGCTGCTCCGCCTCCAGGCACAGCATACTACAAGACTAAGTTCACTTCCTCGGGCATCACGGCACCACCTTGGTAGAGTTTCGGGGGGTGGGGGTGGGGGAAGAGGGGCACACAAATAAAGATTAAATTCCAAACTCCCTGTCTTGGCAGTCAGAAGCATCCCTGGCTTGGGCCCTGGAAGCCATCCGTCCGACCGGTTCCTGAGCTGCAAAAGTCAGATCCTTTTGCTCTTGACTTCTCACTGCTTCTGGTTTTAGTCAAGGCATCCCAGCTCTGTCACTTCTCTTGGAAGTTAACCCCTCTGTGCCTCAGTTTTCTCTTCTGGTTAGTAGCAGGGTTGTCTGGCGGATTACACGAGTTTACGTGGTAAAGCATTTAGAACAGCGTCTAGGTAGCAGTGTGCTCTCTGTACGTGTTATCCGATTATTATCACCTGGTCCCTGGGACGCTGTTAGGGGAAGCTCCTCACCCCTACGCCTTACGCACTTTCAGAAGCAGCTTCGATGAAAATGATAAGGCGAAAGCCTGAGCATGTGTTTTTGAGTTTGTTAGTCTGGCTTCACGGAAACAGCCAGTGTATCGAGATAAGGAAAAGAATAGCGGGATAGGGGCCAGTCTCGAATCCTCGCAAAAGGCAAAACTTTAATGTGGGAAAAGCGGGCCTCACTTGTGCCTCCGCGCCCCCCCGCACGCGCGGGCGCCTCCGTCCCTCCTCGGGCGAGCGCGGGGCAGGCGGTGCGGCTCTGGGGGGACGAGACGGCCTCGGCACGATCCCACCGTACCTGCTCTCCCTCCCGGAGTCTAGCCACCCAAAGGGATCTCGGCTTGCCTAGGGGAGCGTGCCCCGCCCCTTCCAGTGGCGCCCAGCTGCTGAGAAAGCAGAGCGAGCCCCCGCCCCGCGATTTCCAGCCTCCGGCGCGCCGGAAGGGACTTCCACCTGGGCGCCCGGGCCTCCGCGTCCCGGGCCGGTCCCAGCGCGGGGCGGAGCTGGCGGGTCGGGAGCTCGCCCCGCCCCGCCTCGCCGTAAACTGACCGTGTGGCAGCCGGGCGGGGGCCTGGAAGGGGAGAGAAAGGGAGGAGAAAGGAGGGAGGAAAGGGGAGCCTGGCGGGCCGGAGGGAGGAAGGGAAGGGGCGGAGGCGCAGGGCAGAGCGTGCCGGCGCGCGGGGGACCTCAGCGCGGGGCGCGTCCCGGAGCCCAAGTCCCGGCCGCTGCGCAGAGCCAGCCCCTCCCCTGCCCCTGGCCGTCCCGAGCGGCGACACCCCAGGCGGCCCCGGACTCGGCCGCGACAGGGATGGTGGCGGCGGGGCGCAGGTCAGCGCAGCCGCCACCGCCTCCCGCCCGGCGGCCGGCGCCGTGAGCCCCGGCTGCGCGCCGGGCATGCGGCTGCGGCCCCCGGCCTCGGCCCCCGCGCTCCGGTCCCGGCCGCACGCCCCCGCCGAGCCCGCCGCCCGCGCCGCCGCCAGGCCGGGCGCCCACCATGCCGCGGGCCCCGGCGCCGCTGTACGCCTGCCTGCTCGGGCTCTGCGCGCTCGTGCCCGGGCTCCCAGGTAAGCCGCGCCGGCCCCTCGCCGGCCCCCGGGCAGAGGAAAGTTTGCGCGGCGCGGAGCCGCCCGCCGGCGTCTGGAGGAGCCGGGGCGGAGGTGCGATCTGAAGGGGGAAGGCGCCTTCTGGGCACTCCCTGGTGGGCAAGCGGCCGTGGCACGGCCCGGTGGGGACTCCCGAGCCCCGGGCGCCACCCCGCGCGCAGCCCGCAGCAGCCTCGCCGGACTGTCGTCGGCCTCCAGCCGCCTCCCGGGCCGAGGAGGAGCCTTCCCTTCCTGTGTAAACAGCCTTGCCCGTCTGCTGACCGAGCTCGCGTGCGCCCGTGCTCAGGGCTCCGGGAGGGCCCCGCCAGCCCCGCGCTGGGACCGGGGTTCTGCACTCGCTGGCACAAAGCAGCCCTTGTGGCCGGCCAGGGGCTGGCGGCTGCTGGGAGGGGCCGAGCGATGCCGCCGGTACCCGGGTCCCGGGGAGGCGAAGGGCAGCTGGAGGCGCGAGACCCGGAGTCTTCGCTGGAGCCAAAGTGTGGGGCTGCAGCTACTCCGGAGGGCTCGTCTCCTTGGAACTGCGGGTGCTCAGGGCACCACGGCGAATCCTAGAGTTTCACTGCGCCCAGGCCAGCCGCCTTCCTTTAAAGATGTAATCCCCCCGTTCCTCTCCCGGGCCACCGCGAACCCGAGGGGACGCCCGCGTCCCAATCCACAGCCCTGCCCGGGACTTCCCCTTCTGATTCCTTCTGCCTGGCTTTACCCCGCGATTTACAAACACTCTGTGCCGCACACTCCCCTAGCTCTGGAGGATTCTGGAGCAGAGGGCAGGGGTGTGCGATTGCCTTAGCCCCAGGTGGGCTGGCGGCTGTGTGAGGAGCACTCTGTCACCTGCTTTAAGTGTTCGGAGTTGGGAGAGAGCTGGACGTGGTGGACGGATGCTCTGGCGCCTGGGGCTGCCAGATGGACGAGCTACCCTCACCAACTCGGAAAACAGCAGGGAGCTCCAGACTTTCCCGTAGGAAATAATAATTGTGTGTTGGGGTGCTGCATTACTTGCAAGCGCGAGGTACTTGATTGCTTTTGTGAACCCAGTGCCCAGCTGCCGAGGGATGGAGGGCTGTTCCCCTACGGTGCCTCATTTACATGAAGGGTGGGGAGGTTTATGTCCGAGCTGAGGAGGGGTCTGGGCAAACTTCCTTTAGGCTCTAATTGAAACTTAATACTGTAGCAGGGTTTCTTTTATGGGAAAATAATCACTCCAGCGCTTGGAGTAGATCAGTGGTTTCCAAAAACTGATCTGGCCGCCACTGCCCATCACTGATAGTTTCATGCGTCCCCAGGGAAATGCAAAGAGCAGGAAGATGTAGTCTGTGTCAGGCACAGGAGTGTATCTTTGACAGCCATCTCCCACTTCGCAAGGACCATCCTTGAATTTGAAATTATGTCTTTTTTATTTTTGGTGGGAAAACTTAATAATTTCCAGTGATAAGAGGGTAGTTTTTCATTTTTGGCAAAATAAAACTGGCAATCGTGTATAAATTTCCCCTTTTTCTGTTTGTTTCTTTTGTTCTGGTCTTAATGTTCTGTGAAATCAGAAGTCTGAGAACTGCTAAAGAAAGATGACTTCTAAGTTCCTTTACAGCTTGACCTTCTGTGATTTTAATAAAAACACAAATGTTTCCAGTTGCAAAGAATTCTTTTAATATATTATTTTCTATTTGCTTTGTGATTTCTCTCTTTCAGAGTTCCTATGCATCCTCACAATGGTCTCCATTTTTCGGATGGGCCTGAGAGGGTGAAGTAGCTTGTCCACCCTCCTTGTCCACCAGCCTCAAAGCTTTTTGGTCCAGTGCCCTTTGTCCTACATGACTCAGCATAGGTAGGGAAACAAGCACTGAGCCGTGGTGGTTTGTTTCCAATTCCTTCAGGGTTCCCTTTTCTTCTGCTGTGGCCTGTTAGAGCTCAGCCAGCCCACTGTGGATCAGCAGAGCAGTGGCTGAGAGCAAGCGCATCGCTGCCCTCCAGATCTGGTCACCTCCCTCTTAGCGCCCTGGAACTTCTCTCAGTTAGAAGGGGCTGGCCACATCTGGCTGATTTCTCCCAGTTTCCCAATGTTGCTGAGCCAACTTCAAACATAGTTTGAAACAGAGTTTTTCTTTTCTCTTCCTTCCCTCTTCTTTTTTTCTTGAACCACTGCAGGTACTTTCTCTGGAGCTTGTTTCTGTCTTGCTACTAGGAACATGATTTGAAAGAAAAACCTCTGTTACTCAGTGAAAGAGGTGACTTGCAGGGCTGTGCCTACCTGGTGTCTGGAGGCCAGTGGCCAAGTTGCCCTTCTGTTGCTTTCACCACGCTTTGGTCTCTGCTTAATCCAGCAGAAAACACACTTCTGATTTTTTTTTTTTTTTTTAAAGATTTTATTTTTTCATTTTTCTCCCCAAAGCCCCCCGGTACATAGTTGTGTATTCTTCGTTGTGGGTTCTTCTAGTTGTGGCATGTGGGACGCTGCCTCAGTGTGGTCTGACGAGCAGTGCCATGTCCGTGCCCAGGATTCGAACTAACGAAACACTGGGCCGCCTGCAGCAGAGCGCGCGAACTTAACCACTCGGCCACGGGGCCAGCCCCAACACACTTCTGATTTAAGGGGGCTCATTTCAACAAGTCTCGGGCAGGTTGACAGCTCTCTCGGGGCAGGGTCATCTCCTGCTCTCCTCATTATACCATGGCCAACGGCCTCGGGGCAGGACCCCAGGGCCTGGTCTTCCCACAAAACCACGAAAGGGTCTCTCTGGGGCCAGGACCTTGCTCTCTGAGGAGGGAGGAGTATGGTATTGATCCTGCCGTAGGACTGAAGTCATATTTGCTATCATACTTTATTAAAAAAAAAAAAAATGTTCTTTTAGTGGATGCCCTGCAGATTAGGATTCTCGAACTCCTCAGAGAGCCCTTTATTCCACATAGCGGCCTCCTGTTGGCAGTGCTCTCTGCCCCCCACCACTTCTCCACTGTCTGTGACAGGCTGGCGGAATTTGGCGAGGGTTTGCGCGCTCTCCAGGTAACCAGGCGTGGGTTTAGAAATGATGGGGCAATGAACTGCAAACGGGGTTGGTTGGTAGACTGCTGTTTACCCTAGGTATTTACACTTTAGCTCCATCATCCTTGAATTAGGGGGGCTTTTTATAAAGGGGATTGAGCAGAAGAGGGCAGGGTCTAATTAGCTCTAATTAGTATTCCTCTCCTGCTTGTTCTCCATGCTTATTTAGCTACTGAGGCAACGGAGAATTAAAATATCTAAGTCGTTGGCAGAAGGCCCTTTAGGCCTGCCTGCCCTGGTAACTGCTTTTCTTCTTTGGCTGGCTCATGGAAATATTCTGAGAAGGTTTAAGGATATCAGCAATGTGGAACAATTACACCACACTTCCATAATAGGATCCTCTCGGGGGGCAGTGTGCAGCTGGGTTAGTGTGTGTGGGGGGGTCTCTTTTCACAGGTATTTTCAGTTGGCTGGGGCTGAGCGCTTTGGAAAGCTCACTGCTAGAGTTTGTTTTCTTTCCTTCCGCTTGAAATGGGATTAATGGCCTTTATAACTGTAGAGGAATACTTTATTTATAGGTGCTCATTTGTTTGTGAGCCTTCTACTGAACGCGGAGTTTGCTTCCCGGGCCGTGTGGTGAAAACTTTGCTCCGGGACAGGCCTTGACACATCCCCTACTGCGGATGCTCAGAGGGGCCGTAGAGTGGCCTGCCCTCCTTCTTGGATTCCCACCCCCACTGGCGTTTTTCAGAAATGATTGCTTGTCTCTTGTAGAGTTGAGACCTGCTTCTGCACTTGGTCTCTATAGTCATTCTAAACTCTCAGAGCCATCCTGTTAAAACTCAGATTATATCACTCTGCTTAAAACCCTCTAGTGGCTGCCCAAAGTCCTGACAGTGTCCTGCCAGGCTTCCCCGCCCCCCACCTTCCCTGACTTTATTTTTCTCACCACTTCCCCTCACACACTTCACTCCTGCAGCACTGGCACAGACCCCCACCCCCTGCAGGCCCTTCCCTCTGTCTGGAATACTCTGCTCCCGGAGAGCTGCATGGTGACTTCCCCCACCTGCACCCTCTTCTCAGTTGTTCCCAGCTCAGCCAAGTTCTCCTGGCCACTCCCAACTGAAGCTGCAACCTCCTGCCTCACATTCTTCCTCTCTCCTTTACTTGTTGATTTTTGTCCTTTAGCACTCATCCCCACCTGATGGCTGACTTAGCTGGTTTCTTGTCCATCTCTCCCCAGGGAGGATTCTCCCCTCTCCAGCACGCAGCCTCCGTGAGGACAGGGAGATTTGTCACTTTTATTCATCACTGTAGCCTTTGTGCCTAGAACAGTGCCTGACTCATATTTGTTGAATGAATAGATGAACTTGAGTCTTGGGAGTGTGTGTGTGGGGGGAGCTTGTCCCAGCCTCCCCTCCTCGCTGCCTTCTACAGTTAGCTTTGAAGTCAGGGACTGTGCACGTAGCTTATTAGGAAGAAACATTCTGTGAGAGAGAGCACCCATTTGAATATGTCAGGATTTTTTGAGCTGGACTCAATGATAGAGGCCATTTGGTTCACCCCCTGACTTGTTTCCATGAGGATGCTGAGGCCTGGAAGGGACCTTGCCTAAGGTCATATAGCCAGTAAATGACAGAACAAGTACTTGGATCTTTTATGCCCAGGATATCCTCTCCTCGTCCCATAATTCCAGCCCTAATGTCCCCTCCTCTGTGAAGCCTTCTCTGCATCCCTTGGCTGGAGCAGAATTGTCCTCTCCTTCCCTCGCTCTTATAGTGCATTCTATTAGAGAAACTGGGGGCTGGAGGGGGTCTGGTTCACTTGCTACGTGGTAAATTGCCGAGGTCTCATTTACCTTTTCATCCCTAGTACAACCACAATGGTTGGTACTCCGTTGATTCTTCTCCACCATGGTTTCAAAGGCCTTTAAAAAAAAAAAATCCTCGGGGTGGGCTGAGTGGTTAAGTTCATGCCCCTGCTT